TTCTCAATAATGGTTGTTCTGTGGTTTAGTTGTAATTGATGTGGTCCTGAGAGGAGGTGAGCAGTGTTTACCTACTCCATCATCTTGACCAGAAGTCAGCTGTTCTAGGCTCATCTTATACTCTCCTTGCCCCAGCTCTGGACCCAGCCATTTAGATCTGGGCACTAGTTGTGCTCACTGCTACTAGGTTATCATTGTTTCTAGGCCCTTTCATTAGACAGAGCTAGGAAATATATGTGTATATATGTATGAATGTATGTATATTTTTATCACAAGTTCATATTGATAACTTTAATTTCAATCCAATACCAGGGAGTTCTTCATTGTCTTCTTTCCATTTCATAATTTTATTTCCCTTCTCTCACAGTGAAAACCCCAGCTCCAAAAATATCAATAAATTTACTCATTTGCTGAATCCTACAATATATACAAGAGATTTTCAGAGCTGCTATGTCTCTTCCACTATAAATAATAGCCTACTATACAGGGTTCAAGATTTTTTTGGCAGCCCTTTTTATCTTGAAAGGTATGTAGAAAGAGTCCTATGTTAAAAACATACTTAGATTAATTTTTTTCCCTTGGAGAGTTGATGTTATTCATTGAAATACAGTTGATTAATTTGTTGTTGTTTGTATTCAATTTTGGAGGTTTTTTTTTTCTCCCAGCCTTGTTATTTTTATTTTGAACATGTAAAACATTAACAAGTTTCCAAAACTCAAAACTATACAAAAAGGTATAATATAATCAGAACAGTGCCATTCCCTCCATCATCCCTTTTACTCAGTTCCTACCCACTCCCTATAAGTAACTAATTAGTTTCTAGTTATCTCTCCTGTATTTATTTTTGTTCTGTCAAAAAATTATACTTGCTACAAGTGGAACAGAGAAATGGGGCAGAATACTGGATCAAGAGAGAACTTTAAGATCGGAGACATCACAGAATGTTTGTATAATAATGTAAATATTTCCACAAAAACTGAAATTGAAGCTGTGGGAGGGACAGAATAATTACAAGGGAAATAGCTGTCAAAATATCTTCTGGTTTAATTTGAAGGATATCAAAGGGTTCCCATATTCCAAAATAGATTGCCACCCTGTTTGTAACCTTCCAAATTAGTGATAGTTAGATCTATGACTCTAGAGGACCCACATCACAATGGGGTTATTATTTTGCAAGAATAATTAAGCTATCACTACCTATGAATGTCAATGAAAGAAATTCTGCCCTAGCAAGAGGGAGGTTTTGAACTCTGAGCTAGACATTTGACCAGGAAAAGAGAAACAAGAGAAGAATGGCTTATATGAGGCTCTGTAAAACAACACGGATGAATAGTAATGATCAAGCTGGAAAAACAAAGCCATATCTCTAGCATGTCTTGGAAAATTTACAAATATGCTAATAATTTATGCTAGTAATTGAGGATCATTCCTCATGCCCTGGCTCTAAGTCAATATGGCACAGAGGAAAGAACATGGACTTGAGAGACAGAGAGGTCTGGTCTTGAATCCCAAATGGGTTACTTAACAGCTACATGACCACTGGCGTTATCTCAAAGGCAGTTTCCTTACCTGTAGAACTGGATAATGCCTCCTTTGCCAAGGTACTGTGAGATATAAATAGAACAACGTATCACCCCTGACACAGGACAGATGTTCAATAAACAGATGTTCCTATAATAAATGCAGATGAAACCAGTCAGCAAGGTAAAGAAACTATTCAGTCAGTGTACTTCAATAACGTGCCAGAAAGAAACCAGAGAAATCACAACATGTCAGGCAGTATTTGGTAAGGACAGAAAAATGTCCAACACTTACTTCCAATTCTCAATTTTCAAAATGTCCCAGAGTCTATTTTTAAAGCATAAAAATATGTACTGGCATACTAAAGCACCAATGATTTAAAAGAAATAGTTCTGGGGAGATGTTGATCAAATGGTATAAGCTCCCAGTTATAAGATGAATAAGTTCTGAGGATCTAATGTACAGCACGGTAACTACAGTAAACAATACGGTATTGCGTACTTGGAGTTGCAAAGAGAGTAGATCTTAAATGCCGTCACCCTCCCCACTCACACAAAAGTAATTATGTGAGGTGATGGATGTGTTAACTAACCTTACTGTGGTAATCATTTTGCAATATATATCATCAAGTTGTGTGCCTTAAACTTACACAATGTTATATGTCAATTGTATCTCAATAAAGCTGGAAAAAATACTAAAAGAGGCAATTCTACAGATTAACAAAGAAAAATGACTCAGAATAATCTCCTAAATAATGCCTATGGCTCACAAATAGATGAACCTAAATATATCGCAAGCCATATTAGCTAATTTTATAATTTTATAAATGTGTACACATAAGAGAGTTAACCAAGTTCAATAAAATAACATTGTAAATTTCTATTTCAGTTTCAAATTCATCTACAAACCAAAACGCAACAAGGAAAATCTTAAAATGATCTTTGACCAAATACTGAAATATACAATAAACTTTCAGAGATGTGGACAAAAAAAGGGGGTTCTGTAATAAATCTAACCGAGAGTAACCTCACAGGGTGATCTGATCAGAAATTCCTAACTAGGCAGGTCATGGTGGGTTGTTACATCTCAGGCCTCTAACTTTCCTAGTAAAAGGTTATCTTTGCCTTCAGCAAGCCCTGTCCATTGTTTTTGTGCATCTAGGTTAACATACCTTTGAAATGACTCTTTTTCAGACCCTCTCAATAGAGCACATAATCTTAACTATCCTTAATCCAATTAGAGATTTTCCTGCTTTGCTTTCTCCCACAGGTTCACATAATATGTTCCCTCCTTAATCCCAAATGTATAAAAGAAACTGCAAACCTGTCATTCTCTCGAGCATTTGAGATCTTGCTTCCCAGCATGTTATCAGTTTGGCTCAAATAAACTCTTGTAAAAATTCTCTACAGCTTTAGATGTTCTTACTTTGACAGAGCCTAGGATCAATCACAATCCAAAAGCCACATACTGAAATCTTAAAATGTGCAATGTCAAAGAGACTCAAAGCATGCAATTTTGGGTATACAGACCATGGCTTTCCTTGCAAGACTAGAAATGACTTCTCTTTCATCTTAAATAAGCAGTGTGTGCTCTATCTCTATTCTACAAGATGGACTAAAAGGTCACAGTCTCAGTTTGCAACACTGAAATGGGCTGATAATAAACCAATCTAATCAACAATTAAATTTGAAACCCTCCCAATAGGGTGCTAATCCATATGCCAAGCTATTCTGCCAGTGGCGAGAAGCAGAGGGATGCATCCACATCCTTGACTAAAAGAGAAAAGGAAGCAGTAGGAGAAAGGGCAAGAGGCAGCGATGCAAATAACAAAGCATGGCTTCTATAAACAAATGAAAGGCTGTTTTTAAACTTTTAGAAATTCAATCTTCCCTTACCCAACAGCAATAAATATCAAAGGACAAGGCAATCATTTGTATTCTGAAGCAGAAATGTGGAGAGAAAATGGAAAACATTTTGTCATGTACTGAACTTACATGTATTCGAAACCCATTAATCCGCCCACCCTACCCCCAAAATGCTGGGCATCATATCATTTCCAAAATAAACTTAACACAAAACCACTGGACTCATTTTTAGGACTCACTGGAGAACTTTTATGCGCTTTCCCAGAGCTGTCCACTCAATAGCCCT